TAAGAGCTGGCAGCAGAGCACAGTACTGCCCACCTCTGCCCATACACAGTCCCAGCAGAAGCACTGGCAACAGGACAGAGGTCCCAAGACCTCTGCCCCACACCCACAGCAGTTCCAGGGGCACAGGGAGAGAAGGTGGAAGTACTTCTTCCCTAGCAGCAGTTCAAGGATCTGGGAGAGAAGGTGGCCATCCTCTCTCCCCAGCGGTAGATCCACAGTGTGGGAGAGGAGGTGCTTGTCTTCCCTCCCCAGAGGCAAAGTAGGGGAGGAAGGATAGGAAGGACAGTGCAGGAAGTAATCCTCTCTCCACAGCGGGCATTTGGGAGTCCAGGAGATGTATCAACCGGCTCATCTCCCCAGTGGCAGTTCCACGGTCCAGGAGTTGAGGTAGTCATCCTCTCTCCCCAGTGGCTGTGTAGGGAGTCGAGAGCGCAGGACATCCTTGCTGCACAGCGGGCGTCCAGGAGTCCAGAAGATGGAGCAACCACCTTATCTATCCAGTGGCAAATCCACAGTCCTGGGAGAGGAGTTGATCAGGATGGTAAAGACCCCCCAGCTGAAGCCCTGGCAACAGGGCAGAGCACCACTGGCCTCTGCCTAGCACCCCATGGATCTTCACGGATCCAGGGAATCAGGGCAGTCGGCCCCTCTCCCAGAAGCAGACAGAGCCCTGGAATAAAGACCTCCCACACAACTGGAGCTTTCTTTTGGTGGTATTTAATCACCACTGGGTTTTTTCTTTTTTGCTAAGTAAACAAAAAAAGACCAAAACATTTGAAAAAGAAATACAAAACAAGTTTTTGCTCCTTTCTGTTATAAAATGTTGCAAATAAATTATCGTTCTTCATAAATTTAAGACAAAATGTATTCTGCAATATATCTTTGGTGAAAATAACCCAAATCAGTGTTTATTATTTACAGTACTCTGTAGGAAAGTTAGAGAATCCACAAACTATGATATATGTATCTGAAAATCAATCCATCCTGATGTACTGACAGTCTATCGTGTTTAGTATTTAGCAAGAGGCTTGACGTGTTTTTTTTTAAGTTGTAATCTATCTTTTTGTCCCAATATTTTGGAAAATGAAGAACTCTTACTGTCACCAGTGCAGTACAGCATCATCATAACTGGTGTGCGGTGATTAGAGACACTGATTGGTGAGAGTATGTAAAAAAAATGCTTGTGATAAAGTGTTTTAATTTTTTTTCTTTTTCTGTTTTATATATACTGTATATATATATATATATATATATATATATATATATATATATATATATATATATATATTACATTTTCTTAATACACTGTGACGCAAGCAATATATTGTTACTACTCTGGGGAAGTGATCGGAAATTCTTTTTTTTTACACATTATGATTTCTTATATCAGTGAGTTTCATCTGTATAAGCAACCATTTTTACTGAATGAAATTGATTCATTCAGTGTTAACTATTGTGGTTAGCTGTGATTGGCCCCAACTAATCACATGATACATTGATTTACCCACGTGGGCTGTGATTGGCCCTGTCTAATCACATGGGCTGTGATTGGCTTTGTCTGTACCATGTGATCACTATGACCAACCACAGAGATCAACACAATAGTACTCAATGGATGGCATGAATGAACTCCATCCATTGTGTACAATTGTCATGTGATCTGCGGTGATTGGTCACAGTAATCACATGGTACTGGCAGTGACTGGTACAATGATCGGTCAGCTGCTGTGTCTGGTGGACACAATGGGTGACAGGTGTTCCGGGGGGGAAGTCATATGTCGCCCACTTGGAATGGTGAATGTTCCTCATTTGACTATAGGCCAGGCGGGAAGTGATTAATACACAGCACACTTTAGTAAACATCTTCTTAAAAAAAAGCAAAAACAATAGTTTTCTTGCACATTGACGCCTGATTAGTATAAATTCTTGTATCCCCCACCCCCGGGGAAAGCCTAAGTGCTGCATACAGCCTTCAATGGATATGAATGGCTGGCTGTGAGGAGCTGTACACCAGATATATGCAGCACCTGGGCTTTTCAGGTGGGTAGAAAAATTCCACAATTTGCAGTAAGCATGCTCAGGCACCCATGTGCAAGAGGTGTTTCTGACAAGTACAACAAAAGGCAAGCTACTTGTATGGCTCCCGACTCCAACATTTATAAAGACTGTCCAGGCATGAATCTAAGGGGGTGATGGGGTGGGCTGTGCCCCCCCCCCCAAGATTTTAGTTGCACCCCCAGGTCTCTGAGAGTGCATCTACTGATCCATGAGGCAATCTGATGGGAGCAATTAATGTAAGGTGGTAGTCTGATGTAAGGGGGCACAGGTCTTGTATATAAATCATTCTAATCTAATGACCACCTAATACATACTAATGTCCCCTGTTCACTCCTGCATCACGTCTGCTCTACCTGTCAGACATTATTTCCAGGTCATGACTCGTGGTACAGTACCTTTTTTTACTGCACCCCTCGATCCAGCCCTAGGACTGTCCTTTTTTCTGGTAGCAGATCACTCTGTCCCTCATTTCTCCTCAGTTAACCCTTTGTGCCCCCACCCCTGCAGTGCTGCCAGCTTCCCTCTCTCCTTCCCACTGGCAGCTGCAAGCACACAATAGAATCCTTCAGGATGGAGAGTGGGGGAAGGGTCTGGTAAATATATCACATTTACCAGCCCCTTCCTTTCCTGAATGAGCACAATGAGTGATCAATACCGATCACCCACTGTGTTCATTAAAACTGAAGCATAGTAAACTTTTTTTTGGGGGGCCCTATCAGGTTGGCTGTTTGGGGCCCCGTGGTTTCTAACAGCAACCCTGCTCCCAGGTGTAGAACTATACTCTTTTCACAGTGTACTGCACTCTGAGTCCAAGTAAAACCTAAATGAAATCGGTCATCTTAGGGATAGACATCAGACAACAGGGTACAGGAGGATCAGTCTAACATCTGAGCACAACATTCACATGGGAACAGCAGTCTCCAACCATGAAATGAAAAGGTCTCCACAGGTAGAAGGTTTCTTTACCTTAAAGTGGATATAAAAGCTGAAGGCTTGTTTTTTTTACCATGAAGCCTTTCATAAACAGGTTTCTTATAAATTCTTATATTTGATTGGATATAATCATTTGTTAGGTCACAGTCAAGGGAAGAGTAATTATTTTTGCCAGGTTGCTTGTACCAGGAAACTGCAGGCACTGACTATGAAAAAGAAAAAGCACAGCAGGAAAGGCTTATGATATTCTGATCTGTCTTTATAGAAGAATTTCAAAGATGCAATCTAATTGGCTAATCACATCTATAATAACTGAATGACTTGAACATTCTTCATCCTTCCTAGTCACCTGTGGAGAAAATTGATGAAATCTAAATTTATGGAAAAACTCTTCTAAAGGATGAAAGATTAAAGATTTTGCAAATGTCCTATGTATTGTTGTACCACAAGAACATTATAGATGACCATATGCAAAGGGAGAAATTTACTAAACCTGGAGCACTAAGAATCTGGTGCAGGTGTGCATGGTAGCCAATCAGCTGCTAACTCCAGCTTCTTCAAATAAAGTGGAACTCCAGTCGCTTTTGTAAAAAATAAAAAATCAGCAGCTACAAAAACTTTAGCTGCTGACTTTTAATAAACAGACCCTTACTGTTCCCTGGATCCAGCGGTGTGACCACCCGAGGGGACACCGGGGTAACATCTTTGGTCCCCAGCATCGGCATCTTAGCTGTGGGCACTTGCGGCTTCACAGCTGGTTGCCCACTACATATGTGCGAGCCGACCTGCGCACTGTGATTTGTCCCGCAGTCTTCTAGGACCTGTGGTGTGTCCTAGAAGACTGTGGGGAGGAGGGAAGGAGCATGTAGCCAAGGTGATCTGAATGGAAGTGGAAGTGGATACCTGTCAAAATCAGGTACCCACTCCTCCCCCACTTACAGTGGAACTTCCCCTTTTGGGTGGTGTTCTGCTTTAATTTTGGCAATAAAACCTGGAAGCTGGAAGTTTCTATGCAAAGCTGCACCCAATTTTGCACTTTCCAGTTTTAGTAAATAACCCCCAGTATCTAACTCCAAATAACAATGAAATAATGTGCTATTGAAATTGTGACTAACAAATGATAGTTTTTTAAAGGTTTATGTTAAGGTTTCACTGTTAAAAATCAATTATTCATTCCAGTGTTTTAGAAAATTGCAGTTTTTTTTCCAAATTTGGTGGATTTGTCCAATAGCTAAGAGACTGAATTAGAATATATTAAATTGTACATACAATTGTTGAACAACCTTTACGAAAAAATCCCAGTGTAGAGCTATAATAATAAAAACTTAAAAGAATTACACGCCAGCCTTAACTAGACATACATACTGTATATTTAATGTAACCAAACAAATCAATGGCAAGATGGATGCTCACCTTCCTACTCTATGATGGTACAGATGCAGTTGGTGACTTCATTGATATTCCCAGTTCCCCCTTCTTTTTATTTCCTCTTATCGTCCTCTTTATTTAAGTTATTGTTCATTTTTTATGACTTTATATGTTAGGAATCCACACTGAAAGATATACTTAAACATAACTAAATGGAACAATAAACAGAGGAATCTATATAAACTGCTTTGTCTATTGTTCCTCCAGGTATAGTAAATAACAGACCATGCTGGAGATAGTTATGTCATGTAATGATATGTCTTGCTTATTGACTGGAACATACAGGCAGTCTTCGAGTTACAAACATTCGACTTACATATAACTCATATTGATGAACAGAGGTGGTGTGATGTCACGCTCGTCTCGAAAACCGCCAGACAGCCATCTTGCTGCTCACTGCATGCTGTTATCTACTGTCCGATGGAGCTGTCAGCAATCCCACATCTCTGCATGGTCAGTTAACCCTTCCCTATGCTATACAAAACGTAAAAATATTTTTTTAGTTGGAGTTACAATTAAAATATGTACCGTATTTTTCGCTCCATAAGACGCACTTTTTCCCCCCAAAAAAAGGGGGGAAAATGTCAGTGCGTCTTATGGAGCGAATATGGAGCGTCCGGTCCGGTATTTCCACCGCCGCCGTGTCAGAATACCGGGCCGGCCACTCAGCTCTGCAGCTGGACCTTATGGAGATGACTGCTGACCTTTGGGGAGGTGGGGAGCGGGTACCTGAATTTGACAGGTACCTGCTCTTACTTCCGCGGAGTTGTTCTTTGACCTTACCTGTTCCTCTATCCAGCGGCGCGCTGTCTTCCCGGCTTCTGTAGTGTGGGTGCTGGGCTTGACAGCCGGGTGCCAAGTGCGCATGCGCTAGAAACGGTGCTTTTTGTGAATGGTAAGGCGGTACCTGGGACACATGACAGATCCCAGAAGCCACCGGACCAATCACAAAGCGCAAGTGCTTCTCGCTCATGTGCACTGGGCACCCGGCTGTCATGCCGAGCGCCCACACTACAGAAGCCAGAAAGACAGCGCGCGGCTGGATAGAGGAACAGGTAAGATCAAAGAACAACTCCGCGGAAGTAAGAGCGGGTACCTGTCAAATTCAGGTACCCGCTCCCCACCTCCCCAAAGGTCAGCAGTCATCTCCTGTACTGTCCGCAGTCTCTGGTCATCCCTGTGCTGTCCGCAGTCTCTGGTCATCCCTATGCTGTCCGCAGTCTCTGGTCATCTCCTGTACTGTGTCTGCAGTCCATTAGTTCAGAATTTTTTTTTTCCTGTTTTCTGCCTCTAAAACCTAGGTGCGTCTTATGGTCAGGTGCGTCTTATGGAGCGAAAAATACGGTACCTGTTCCACCTTACAACTTACATACAATTTCAACTTAAGAACAAACCTACAGAATCTTGTCCATAACCCAGAGATTCCTGTATTTGTATACAATTGAATATGTTAAGACATAGAGTGCCTTGGAAAAAGTATTCATACCCCTTGAAATTTTCCACATTTTGTCATGTTACATCCAAAAATGTAAAAGTTTTTTATTGGGATTTTATGGGATAGAGCAACACAAAGTGGCACATAATTGTGAAGTGGAAGAAAAAAATGATAAATGGTTTTCAAAATTTTTGAAAAATAAATATGTGAAAAGTGTCTCCTGCATTTGTATTCAGCCCCTGGAGTTAGTACTTTGAAGAACCACCTTTCGCTGCAATTACAGCTGCAAGTCTTTTTGGGGATGTCTCTACCAGCTTTGCACATCTAGAGAGGGACATTTCTGCCCATTCTTCTTTGCAAAATAGCCCAAGCTCTGTCAGATTGGATGGAGAGCGTCTGTGAACAGCAATTTTCAAGTCTTGCCACAGATTCTCAATTGGATTTAGGTCAGAACTTTGACTGGGCCATTCTAACACATGAATATGCTGTGATCTAAACCATTCCATTGTAGCTCTGGCTGTATGTTTAGGGTCGTTGTCCTGCTGGAAGGTGAACCTCCACCCGTCTCAAGTCTTTTGCAGACTCTAACAGGTTTTTCTTCTAAGATTGCCCTGTATTTGGCTCCATCCATCTTCCCATCAACTCTGACCAGCTTCCCTGTCCCTGCTGAAGAAAAACATCCCCACAACATGATGCTGCCACCACCATGTTTCACAGTGGGGATGGTGTGTTCAGGGTGATGTTCAGTGTTAGTTTTTCCCCACATATAGAGTTTTTCTTTTAGGCCAAAAAGTTCAGTTTTGGTCTCATCTGACCAGAGCACCTTCTTCCACAGGTTTGCAGTGTCCCCCACATGGCTTCTCGCAAACTGCAAACGGGACTTCTTATAGCTTTCTTTCAACAATGGCTTTCTTCTTGCCACTCTTCTATAAAGGCCAGATTTGTGGGGTGCACGACTAATTGTTGTCCTGTGGAGAGATTCTCCCACCTGAGCTGTGGATCTCTGCAGCTCCTCTAGAGTTACCTTGGGCCTCTTGGCTGCTCCTCTGATTAATACTCTCCTTGCCTGGCCTGTGAGTTTAGGTGGACAGCCATGTCTTAGTAGGTTTGCAGTTGTGCCACACTCTTTCCATTTTCAGATGATGGATTGAACAGTGCTTAGTGAGACGTTCAAAGCTTGGCATATTTTTTTATAACCTAACTCTGCTTTAAACTTCTCCACAACTTTATCCCTGACCTGTCTGGTGTGTTCCTTAACCTTCATGATGCTGTTTTGTTCACTAATGTTCTCTAACAAACCTCTGTGTGCTTCACAGAACAGCTGTATTTATTAAATTAAATTACGCACAGGAGGACTCTATTTACTATGTATTAGGTGACTTCTGAAGGCAATTGGTTCCACTAGATTTTAGTTAGGGATATCAGAGTAAAAGGGGCTGAATAAAAATACACGCCACTCTTTTCAGATATTTATTTGTAAAAAAATTGGGAAAGCCATTTATCATTTTGCATCCACTTAACAATTATGTGCCACTTTGTGTTGGTCTATTACATAAAATCCTATTAAAATACATTTACGTTTTTCGTTGTAACATGACAAAATGTGGAAAATTTCAAGGGGTATGAATACTTTTTCAAGGCACTGTAAATATACCATGATCTTAATACTCTCAATTAAATAAATTTTTTGAAAACTCAAAAAAGGACATTTATCATGAAGATGTGTTTTTTTTGCAATATAGTTGCTTTCACATATACCTTTTGTTGTTTCAAAGGGGATAAAATTGTTTCAAAAATTGATTACAATAGATCACTGACAGAAAAAAGTCACTTTTTTATTGCATCTATCTGGGGAAAAGTCATTGGTATCCATGACACTCCAGGACATGGGCGTAGCTTCAGGGGTCACTATGGCGACCCTGCCCATGCTCCGCTGGACCCGTGCCATTTCCCTTTGACAGATCTGATCTATATATATCCACCCTCCATGTGTGCTGATTTGGCTGATTGCAGTCTATTGCTCCAGGATACTCCAACAGATCATCGCTCCCAGAGCAATTGCTATTTTTGCTGATTTATAATTTGATCAGCAAATAGCTCTGGTGAGTTTACCCATTTCATTTGGTGATGGATTTTGCTACACAGTGTTTTTTCTTGTTTAAGAGATTTTTTAATCACTTGTTTTGGTGTTTGGACTTATATATGAATTATGGACATTTATAAATATATTTATTTTATTTATGTATTTATCTGCATTTTCATGGGATTTGGTATTTAGCGCATTCCTTTATATATTTTTTGTCACTTACCTTTTCTTTGGTTAGGTTTGCAGCTTTATATATTATTTATTGGCACTGTGTCTAGATATTTTACAGTTCTGGAAAAGTATTCTTTGGAAGGATGAAACTAAGATTAATCTGTACTAGAATGACGGGAAGAAAAAAGTGTGGAGAAGGCTTGGAACAGCTCATGATCCAAAGCACACAACGTCATCGGTAAAACATGGTGAAGGCAGTGTGATGGCATGGGCATGCATGACTTCCAGTGGCACTGGGTCATTGGTGTTTATTGATGATGTGACAGAAGACAGAAGCAGCCGGATGAATTCTGCAGTGTTTAGAGATATACTGTCAGCCCAGATTAAGCCAAATGCAGCAAAGTTGATTGCACGGCGCTTCACATTACAGATGGACAATGATCCAAAACACACTGCAAAAGCAACCCAGGAGCTTTTGAAGGAAAAGAAGTGGAATATTCTGCAATGACCGAGTCAATCACCTGATCTCAGCCCAATTGAGCATGCATTTCATTTGCTGAAGGCAAAACTAAAGACAGAAAGACCCACAAACAAAGAACAACTGAAGACAGTTGTAGTAAGAGCCTGGTAAAGGATCAGAAAGGAGGAAACACAGGCTTGGTAATGTCCATGGGTTCCAGACTTCAGGCAATCATTGCCAGTAAAAGATTCTCAAAAAAATATTAAAAATGAACATTTTATTTATGATTGTATTCATTTGTCCAATTACATTTGAGCCCCTGAAAATGGAGGGAGTGTGTATAAAAATGGTTGCAGTTCCTAAAATTTGTATTTATTATTTATGTTCAACCCCTTGAATTAAAGCTGAAAGTCTGCACTTTAGATTCATTTTGATTGTTTTGTTTTAATTTATTCTGGTTGCATACAGAGCCAAAAGTATGGAAATTGTGCCAGTGTCCAAATATAAATGGACCTAACTGTATATGGGCTGTCTTAGGTTTTACACTGTGCCCCTCGAGAAAGGGGCTTGCCACGTCACCTTGCATAGGTAATTCAGGAAACTCAGAGGACCTGGGAAAACTTACACAGGGTGATAGGGCAAGCAGGGGCCCCAGGTCAACATTTGCATTGGGGCCCGCAAACTTCTAGTTAAGCCTCTGCTCCAGAAGCACCAGTAGAGGGGTATTTTTTTTAAATTTGCATAACAATTCACATTCACCTGTTCTGTGTGAATGGGGCAAAAAAACATCATTAGGTCAAACTTTGTTAAACTGTTTAAAACATTCTACATGTTTTTATATTTTATATACTATATATAATACACTGTACTGTATATATACAATGTTGTATAAAACAAATAATAAATCATGGTACACAAAAGATTTCCAGACCACTATGGGTTATCTTAAGAGAAAACAAAAGTGTTTCCTTAGTTCCTTAGATTCCTTAGGCCGAAGTGGAATACGTCACCAGGGCTGCGGATAAGGGGGTACCACCAGTCCTCCTGTACAGGGCCCAGGCCAGCAGGGGGGCTTGGCAGCTGCTTAATCGGATGTGGGCAGGGAGGGTGATTGGCATGGTGGTGGTGGTGGGGGGGTCAATTACTGGAACTGATTCCCTGTATGGATCTCTGCAGCAACTGAAAGCTGGCTTCTTCTCCTCTCCCTCTGGCTGGCTTTCAGCTGGTGCAGAGAGAGCTATACAGGGGATCGGTTCCAGTAATTGACCCCCTCACAGCACCCATTGCCCTCCCTGTGTACAGTGCATTTTCCCTCTGCTGCCCTGGCCCCCTTGTGTGCCCCTAGCCCTGCAGTGCTGCCGGCTTCCCTCCTCTCCTTCCCACCGGCAAGCACACAATAATGGATACAAAGTGGGGGAAGGTTCTGGAAAATATGTCACATTTACCAGGCCCTTCCTTTCCTGAATGAACACAATGAGTGATCATTGCATTATTCCCAAAGTACTTTTAACTGCATGTTTGTGTGGAGGCGGGCCGGCCTAAATTTATATTCCTAACAGGTACCAATCACTCACTGTATTCATTCATAACTAAAGCATAGTAAACTGTGCTTTTGTTTTGGGGAGGGGGGGCCTGTCATGTTGGCTGTATGAGGCCCTGTGGTTTCTAACAGCAGCCCTGTACATCACTCCTCTGATTCTTTGATTGTGTGTGTAAATTTCAGCATGTGTTATTGAGCTCTGTAAACAATAGCAGCTAAAGACAGAGAGCTAAAACACATAAAAACAAAACCTAAAGCTTCACCTG